TTTTTTTTTTTTTTGTGTGTGTGTGTGTGTGTGTGTGTGTGTTTTGGTCTATCTCAGTGCTTTGAAAATACCTAAATATAACTCTTTTGAATTCCTTATCAGAGAGTTGCAATGCTGCTTCTTCCTCAGGGATATGTTCTGGGTCTGTATCCTGTTCCCTTTTTTCTATCACTTTATCTTGCTTCTTTGTGTGAACTGTGATGGTCTGTTGTCTCTGAGACATTGTGATGTCCTGTTTAGATCTCTGTTAACTGTTTGTGAAGAGCAGCCAAGGGTGATTCAGGCTTTGTTGGTGGTTTTTTATCATTTACCCATTGGTGGAGAAGGAGGGGTTGGCTCTTGCTCAGCAAGTGGAGTTGCAGGAGGTGTGGGATTAGTTGTATCTTATGGGGACTGTTGCTGTCTCCCACTCAGTTAGACAAAAATTACAATTGAATAACCATCAAAAAATTAAAAGTCCATGGACAAGAAATATACCACGTAATCACACAGGAACAGTAACCCAAAAAAAGAAAAAAGGGAGAAAAGAAGAAAGAAACAAGAAAACCTACAATATCTGGAAACAGGGCACTAAGAGAAAAAAGGTAGACAAGGAGAATAATGAAGAAAAAAATGGGAACAATGCAAAAAAAGAAAAGAAAAGAAAAACAAGGAATAGGGTTAAGCATGAGAAAAATAAAGGGCAAAACATTTTAAATTGAAAAAGAAATTTTATTCAGGAACAGGGAAAAGAAATAAAAGGTGTAAACTAGGACCTGGGAAGCAAAGAGTAGTTAAAAGGACAAAAGTATTTATAATAATAGTAGTTTTAAAACAGACAAATATAAGCAAACTAAACACCAGAAAAAAGAAATAGAAAAAGAAAAAAATCGGCAGAGGACAGGGCAGGGCATCTATGCTTTGTCCAAGCACAGAGACTGGGACAGAGTTCCTGCCAGCCCAAAGGTGTGTGGGAGTGGGGGGTGGTCACATCTCTTTTCACCAAGTTAAGGGTGTGGAGTATAAGAGTAACAAGAGGAATGTCACACCTTTTCACTCGTGTAGGTCTGGAGTGTCCTTGGGGTTACTGGAAAGCAGAACCTCTTCTTAAGCCCCTGGAATCTCAGAGAATGCTGTCTCTTTAAATGTCCAAAATGGTCAAGCTACTTGTAAACATTCAAAATGGTGGCGCCCTCTGGACAGTCAAAAGTCCACAGCTCAGCCCATCTTCCTCTTCACTGCTGCTTCCCCTTTTATTCCACAGCCACCAGAGCAGTCCTCTATGCAGTTCCTGGTTAGTAGTGCTAATTTTTAGGTTAATTATTAGGTCCTACCACCACTCGGGAATCTCCAAGCTGTCTGTCCCATGCCATCAGGATCCCTCAGGATTGCTGCCAGACTG